AAAAGGATCAGCTGGATACAGTATCCATAATTAAGCTGAACAGACTCAAAGAAACACAAAGTAACGAGAGAACTCTTCGACTGAGCCCATAGTTAATCAAATCTTCCGAGTCACGTCATAGCTGACTTCTTTTTGGGATTGTTTTCCGACTTTTTGGGCCACTCCAGTTTCGAAAGGGCTGACATACACCGTATCCACAAAACTTGCCATAAACCACACGAACCTGCTATTCACTACTAACTGGCCAAACCTAAGTGATAGTAAAGTTGGCTAACTGCAAATCGCCTATGTGACACCAGCTCGTTTTGTAAGCTCACGCCACATAGGCACAGGATTTTTGAGTTCCAAACAAGGCCAACCCTTAAACGAATGACTCAGCATTCCAACTATATTATTCGATAGCAAACTGCAGCTACTAGAGCAGAAACGAAATTGAAATTCAAGGAAGGTCTCATCTTTTCTTTGAAGAACCTGAATTTGCTTCACCTTCCTATAGAAAAAACAGATTTTTCGCACCTTCCGAACACTAGTGGAAAACGATATACCAGCAAATTGGGATGCTGCTCCTGGTAGTATACTCGAAGGTTAGCGACCACTGGTTCTCCCACTTCTATATGAAAGCTTGATACTTCGCCAATAACTTTAGTTACCAAGTTTAGTTCACAGTGTCCCTGCACGTTTTGACCAGAACAGTACAATTTTCGTGCCCTGGACTAATTTTCAGTAGATAATGACGTTCAGCTGATGCAGCAAATTCGAGAATGGAGGCTTTTTACAGTAATTGAGTTCCACCTCTTCAACGAGAAATTCGATCTCGAAAATGCATTGCAAAGGAACTGTCTTCCAGTGGAGGCTCGAACTAGGCCAGTCAAAAAACACAGATGGTCTCGAAAATGGGACGATTCTTAATCCCTCACTCAAATATGAGTCCCCTATAGGAGCGAAACAGGGCCAAAATAAGCCCCATCCGGCTTAAATCTTAAGAACTGATAGGTAAAGTCATTTCTAATAGTTTGCTCATGTCACCTGCCTCTAACCCCATAACGCCCCCCCTCCCCCCTCCCTTTAATTCAAAGTTACGTAGGTCTTTCCTTCGCTCCCCCTTTCTCACCCATTTGCTGATTGAGTTCATTACGTCTACGTTATTCTGTCCTGCCTACGCCATTTATGAATCACTGAGATCTGCGATTCTTCCCATGGCAAAAAGCCTTCCCGGTTCCCGTTCTCATTAACCTCGTCGAGTATTCACGAGCCATATATGAATTCGAGACACTTCATTAGGGTTTCTGCGCTTAATCCTTAGACTATGGTGCCTGCCCGAACGACAAAGGGGCAACGACGCCATAACCATTGGCCATCTTGGCACTACGTGCACTCGACGATAAGTGCAAGCATGTCGTTGAGGAACAAAAGACCTGAGAGCTCTCCAGTGTCTTTATTGCAGGCCCGAAACGACTAAATCCTTCTTGAATGTCTCACAGCACTTGCAAATGCCACAGCTGTGTTGTTATCATGCCAATAGGACCTTTCGTGGTCGATTCTTTCCCTCGAAGCGGTTGCAAAAAGGTGGCAGCTGCCTGGCAGTGAAGGACATCGTCACGATCATGGCCGGCTCAGGTGGCCGACATGAAGATGTATTTGCACACCTGCGCGCAATGTCATGACATCATCACCTTTGAGATGCATCGTATGGCGGCTGTTGCTGCCCCTCTTATATTATTTGATGACAATAATGATTCTGCGTTGGGTCAACAAAGTCCAAAAAAAGGGACACAATCTGCATATTGGCCCCCCTGCGGCTTTTTCGACAGCCATGGACGCTAACGACTTTCTAAGTGGAATTTTTAAGAAGTTTCCACTCGAAACTTTTTTTTTTTTGAAAACAATGAGCTGCTTGAGAGGGGTGACGGAAAAACATCACTTCTCCTTCCTCTTGCTCTTTCATTCTTCTCCCAAACTGGAACCAGCTTTCAAGAGAGCTCTAGCTTTGTATTGCAGCTTGAAAGGATAAGGCAAACTCAAAAAGACAAGAAGACTCTATTCTTATCAAAACTCCGAGTTCTTCCACAATGGACCGAATGAACACTCATAGCTTTTGTTAAGCTTATAGATCCAAATGGAAGGTGTGGATCGGGTAGATTTTTTGAGGCACCCCATTGTCAGGTCCCCTGCGAAATCGTTGCCAAATTCGATGGTCTCTGAGCCTCTCCTTTTCTTTGTTCATTTTCCTTCTAAAAGCGAATTACAGGGCTTTTTGCGAGTTGGACATTGATATTTCGGGTCGAAATTGGCAAATACACGATCCTCAATTATAAGACAGACTGAGTAGGCGCTTAGCAAGAGCTCGCTCCCCTAGTTCGAACGCCTGGGATCTTGAATTGCTATGAAAACAGTTGCTCCCGATTTTATTTCAATGGAAAAGTGGTTGTTGTTGCTCATTAGAACTACATCGGTAGCTCGGTTATTGTCTAAATGGAGCTCCTTTAACAAAGGCCTAACGCCACAAGCCGAACTTCATAGGATGGAAGGGTCTTCCAACAATTAGAGTGGGTGGCTTGGGCGAAAGCCGCCTCCACCCGCTCTGTCCATTAGCCTACCTCCATTACCCAATATTACTTGGGCCTGAATGTATAGGGCCTTTGTAACCCGCTCAGCCCATCTCGAAGCGATTCGAGAGAAAAATCAGCTCGTACAGCGGCTTTAACCCTTTTCCCTCATGTCGGTTCTTCCACAAACACGACTTCCAACAACAATTGGCGGAAACAATTGTTGCGATATCACATCGTCATCGGTCTGTCGAAAAGAGCATGCGGTCATTTGTCACACTCAGCTGCCGACAGCGGCGGCATCGTAGTGCAGTCTTACGAAAAACCCCCTTGCCGTCGTATAACACATCTAATCGAATTATCGCCACCCACATCGTCCACGGATCACCCTGACCTAGCGCCAAGAAAAATGCTAAACAGATGCCATCAAGAAGATAGCGGGTGGCCTCTTCTTCGAATGTGAAGTCGGACATGGGAACATTTATAGCCAAAAACACGAGCACTTAAAGAGCTTCACATTCCTAAGATGCCGGACTGAAAACTGAGGAAATGGGCCTTTAATTATGCAATTACAGGGGCGTAACTCATGTCCAGGTCAATCTCGTGGCTCAAGCTTTTCAAACTAGGTGAAAGCAGCTTTCTGCTTTGAAGTGATGTGAGGGTTACTTGTCTTTGAATGGGCCCTGGGGAAGGTCATTCACGTGCCCTGCCATTTGCCTCTGCCCATTTGGGATTTTCATAAAATCCATGTTCAAAGTGCAGTCCGGAATTCGGCACTTGTCTCGATTGAACCCCCGCATTCAAAACACGAAGGAATTTCGCTATGGTTTTCCTTTTGTCATTCACCAATGATCACCATTCCTCCTCAAGCGGCGCTCATGTCAACACAAATCAAACGAAATCATCTGTAGAATAAACAACTTAGGTAAACAATCCAACCATTTCCGTAGCTGTATGATAGGGCTACAGATACCTTGAGCAGACATGTAGAACTCTAAAAACCCGCCCAAATGAAAATTTCGGGAATTCTGTACCCACAAGGCCTAAAAGAACGCCTATCCCCCACCCGCGAGCCCAATACAATTTCTTTGCGGAATGCATGGGGCAAATTTTATGCTTTATCTGGCGTTTAATCGGGACAAACGGATCGCAAGAGTCGGAGGCATTGCTGAGCAAACCCCTTTCCTTGCTTGCCCTGTCACTCAACCAGTGGGAATTTCCATAATCATATGTGATGTATTAATGGCCACTCGGGAGGGTACATGTACGGAACTTTTCTCACATCCGATATAATCACATCAGCCGACATCTCTATTACAGCTCTAAAAAGGTCTTCGAAAGTGCAGAGTACTACGGATCTCTAGAGAAATTAGAAAACTATCAACAACACTTCAAAGACTGTTCCCACACAGAAGCCCTTCCCAAACAGATCTCAAATCCGGAATAAATTTGAGATATCCTCGTAGGATATAATAATCACGACCTTTGGCAAAGAGAATCGACTTTGCTGCTGCTCTCTGATGATACCATAATTATCCCCGACAGAACGGAAATAGAAATAAACACGAAGTTTGAACTGAACATAAACAAACAACCGGGAAAAATACCAATATCAAACAGTTTACACAGTTCTCGAGTTACCAGTTCCAGCGCTTCACTCAAGCTCAAGCACCCGCTAACACTATAATAACACTTTCAGGTAGGCAATCACCCCAAACACAGGTACTTCAATTTCCAGTCCGATTCATCCTTGGGCCAAAACTCTGAGTATAGCTTAGCACTAGGGGCTACAAACCGTCAAGAAGCTTTCCAAGGCCATTTATGCAGTAATTATTGAGGCAACAACTTCAGATTTCAATCTCACTCAGCACCGAATGGACCACGAAGATTAATCCAATACCTAGGCATCATTTACAAGTAAAATTCCCAGAACCTTTAAGATCATTACTATACATTCCAGGCATTACGCTTCAGCAATGACAGAGAACAGTTGCAATTAACTCGACTTATCTAACGCCCTACGCAAACATCGGCGCCACCCATTTCCCCTTTTATTAGCAAAGGAAATTGTACCTTCCATGAGACAATTCAACGACAATTCAGAATTCGAAAGATTAAGAAAACAATAAGAAAAGCATTCACATTAGCAGAAATTGATGAAAGGATGACAAGGAAAACAAAGAAAACAACACGAAAAAACGACGATTTACCGACCTTCATATCCTGTATGACGCTTTGATATAACGCCGATAAGGCATTGAATTCCATGTCAGGATCCATATTGGTGGAGGTGATGTCGTGGTAACTGAAATCCATAAATTTATGCAGCTGAACATACATAATCAGTCTGAATACAGATTGTACTTGACTAGCCTGTGTGAATGGCTAGTCAAGTACAATCTGTATTTTGCTGAAAGCACTAAAAAGAACCAAAAATTTGATATCAATAAATGTTGGACACCTATTGAAAGCTATCAAATATTAAAAGGCCAACAAGCAATAAAAGAAAAGAAGCGCATGCAGAGCCATTTTCCGGAATTCGATGGCCTTGTTTGTTCACCGTCCGCCCTCACGAGAGGATACGACTTTGGGCGCGTGTGATGCCTGGCTGATTCCAGCAAGGCCCTTCTGCGATGTTGAGAACGAGTACGACGGAAGTGGGGGCGACAGAACTTAGGAAAAATAGATGAGGTTAGAGCTTCTGATGTGATGAATACGTCAGCGAGCGTTGTGGCTAAATTTTCAGATAATCCGGCCCTCCACTCCTACGCAAGTTATACCTACATACGTCTCGATTTGCCCAAACAAACAATGATTTTGCCCTAACTCTCAATGGGAGTGCCAACAATGAGTAACTATTTGGACAAAGACTTTCAAAAACATCCTTCAAAGAAAACGCGAATCAAACACTCAACACCTTCAACAGGAAAGAATTCATAGCTACGTATAGTTATCATAGGAGAAGCTTGTCGCAAGCGATAGTTGGTGGTAAAGTTCCAGGAAATTTATGAAGAACTTCGAAAAGTTGCAAGATTAGAGCTACTGCATAAAACAATCCGAAATCATGAGGAGGCAGGAGTGTAAGGTTTGATTCAGGCTGTCAAAAGCCGGTAGAGTTACAATCAATGAGGTCCCACAGACCCTTCGGTATCTATCTACCCAAGAGCCAAATAAGGCATAAGTATAGACGAGTATTTTGAGCGGAATTGAGTGGACCTTAGAGTTGACCCTTAACCCTGTCCCTGGCTGTAAAATGCACTAACCAGCTCCTTGACATGCACTAATTACTGGAAATGGAGAAAAGACTGAAGGTTGAAATCATGGCCATGAGAGGGCGTCTGCAGTTCACGCAGGTTACCAGTATCTCAAACAGTACATATCACCTTTTCTCAACCCGGATCGAGCAAAATTTCACCGACGGAGGATGAAATAGGTTTCAGAGTTGAACACATTTGGTTGGCAGGATGAGCGAGAAATATATCAGTGAGACTAGTCGTTCGACACGAACAAGCCGCAATGACTGACCGATCGTTCAAATGGTAGGACAAAAAACTCATTGAATCACCAACAATATGATTATACGACAGATAAACCCCATATGTCAACGTTTCTCATTTGCCAGCCGTTCTACATCAACTAGGGCTACAGTAGATTCAAAATAAATACGTATGAGGATCATGAATAGACGCAGAGGAAACCATTTAATCAGCAAGCGGCAGAATGGTACACGAACTACCGCGTCATGAAAAAAAACTCCGTAAGTTCCCATAGCTGACTGAAAGACGAATCACAAATTGAACCGGTAATGAAGGGAAAAGGAATGTAAAATGAATAAATTGTCAAGTTTTTCGGCATGAGTCCAGGTGGGTGTTCTCATGACAGAGGAAAGAAAACTGGTACTGCTAATTGGGAACGATGCACTCTGAAAGAAACGAAAGGAAAAGTCATCTGTCGGTTCAATTTTATTCACCCTTGCAGGCAATGAAAACTCCCATCCAGTGATGTTTTTTTGTGCGATAATTCGTGAGCCATTCGGCTGCTTAACTACTGAATGATCCTCTTCGGAACTCCTCAAAATTTTTAGTCACAATTTAGGTCTACCTTACGAGGATATTTCCAAACGGATATTTCGAAAGATGGGCCGGTGTGAGAAAAAAAAACAGAAGGCATATATTTAGTACGACAGAAATTATTTTTTGTGGTCAATAAAGAAAATCCAGTTTAGCCCGCAATAATTGGGCCTAAAAGAGCACAACGAATAAGGACTAAAGACGTTATGATTGAACGTTGAAAGGATTCCTGCTGCAACAAAGCTGTAGGCGTAAAAATAGCAGGGATATTTGACAAAAATATTGGTCTACGTGAAAAAAAACCCAAATTATGCAGCATGAAAAACAGGGATGCACCCTTGGGTACGGACAGAGTCGGAAAAAGCTATGTCTATAGCAGTTACTAATCTTGGGAACTTTAGAATTCGTTACTACATAATATGAATGACATTATTGCTGGTTTATGATGAGAGCCAAAGGTTTCGGGAGTTGCCAGCTGGCTTAAGGTGTGCGGGACGGACTGCATTATGTATAATCATGCGGCTTTCCCATCACGGCAACCGATAAGAACTCTCGCCCTATCGACATAAACCTTCGAGCAGTCAATCAAAAGGAACTCGTCCTCGATATGTAGCTGGTCCCTGCTACTGCTTAGAGCGCAGCTCCTTTGTGCCACTTAGCTTGGCACCATTCATAAGGGCCGCCCATATTTGTTGTCGAGTCAAGCACACGACCTACATGAAGGCGAGATAATGCTCGTAGAGTCAGATTACAACGACCGACTGCATAAAGAAATGTGAACCCTCTGTGCTCCCCGTCTAGATTCAATTAACTATGCCGCATCATCAACAACACTTATGCTCAACTGCTCCCACCAGGAGACACATGCAAGCTGACCGATACTGCTGTATTAATTAGTCATAACAACCACGACATGATCCGATGCAAAACAAACTTTCCAAAAATATTAATAGCTCAACAGCATTGCCAAAGATATTCGTAGCTACAACTGAATAACAGACAGAATAGCGAAAATGTCTTCACGATCGAGAAAAAAGGCAACAAAACCTCCAGGAATAATAAATTGTTTTAAAAGATCGATGAAAGCGCTACTTTTTTTTTCACAGAAATATTGACTTGACTAGCGGCATTTCGACCAAAGTGCTTTGCGGAGGCTTTATTGCAAATTCAAAAGGTTCAGAGCCTCCGCCATGAAAGGCAGAGATGTATACGGAAATAAAATAACGACTGCTCACAAAGAGGTAAAAGCAAAGCTCCGATTCAAAACAAAAATGGAGAAGTCTACTACACTACAACTGAAGTCAAATAAAGGATTTGAGAAGGAATTGTTGAAAAAAGAACTCAAAATTATCAAATAAATATAGATACCTATTTGCTTTCTCAGGAGATTGCATACTTATTGTCGGCGGTAGACGTCTCACACGTACCGTGGCGAATTTATGCATTTTATGGTAGAACCACACACAAATTTGTAATAATGCCCAACAACAACGGATGGCAGAGCAACCGCTTATGAAAACGGCTGGTGCGAAAAATGTGGAAATGGAAAAGATACAAAGAGGACGAAAAAACTAACAAACTAAAAAAGCTTTTAAACACAACTTACCACGTATTCAAGTACAGACGATGTGGAAAACGTATGACGACGATAACGGAAACTGACTAGCTGACGTCAAAACTATCGCATAACTGAAAATCGGTGGTATAACTGATGAAAATGGTAACCTTCCCACGAGAATCGATCAATAGTACGCTTGACGACATACAATACGACTATGAATAACTCCAATGACCAAGTCCTGAGCCATTAAACAACAATAAAAAGTAAATAAGTCCAAGCAAAATCCGAAGTTGTCGTGGAAAAGAAATAAGGAAAAGGCAGAAGAGCATTGGCATTTATTCGCTCAAAACGTACGATACAACATAACCGCCAAATAGCTCACACGAATAATCTTTCCCCGGATCATCTAATTCGTTCCTCAAACAACTCAAAAAACCGGTTCGCACCTAGCATTTTTTCTAGCGGCTGCTTTAAATGGTACTCCTTCAATCTGGCAAGACCTTCGATATTGTTTGTGTTGAATGGAGAGTTGTTTACTTCCTTTCCATCAAAAACAGCAACAGTTCCAATAGCAAACAAAGCCTCAGACAAGCTTTTGTAGGAGAAAAAATCCAGAACAATATACTAGGAAATATCAATTCCTTTCTCGAATGTCTTTTAATTCACAGCCCACACGATTGCATCAGTGGTTGTGCCCCTTAAAAACTCGTACAAAAAACTCTTACTTTTGCTGGGAAGTGAAATAAGCATCTTCCCATCTCTAATACAAAACATTTCAGAAGAAATAAAATCCCTTGCGAATTCTGGATTCCATTGGTTCCCAACTAACTAGAAATCGTGAGAACTAGCAAGATTTGAGGATAAAAAACCCCAACATCACAGGCGAGAATATAATCAAATTGGCCGCTCGGCCTCTTCTAACGACGTTAACTCCCGAAAATCTGTCAATGACTAAAGAACACAAACGGAAAATAAGAAAACAAAAGATAGAAAGAATTCAGAAGGGAAATCGATCTATTTCACCAAGGGGAACGTTGCTGAAGTTTGCCACTCCAAAAAAAATCGGCCTTAGGCCTTGGATATGAAGCGGAGCATCAATTCGAACCAATTTTTTTTTTCTGAAAATAGGATCTCACGTTAGCCAACAGAGACGAGTTCGGAGCGCACAGCGCATAACGACTTCCCATTACCCTCAATTTAAGCGGCAGACCTTGTATTGGAAAAATTCGAACGCTTCAACACCCTCCTCTCTTCGTACCACTTCAGAAGTATATTGAACGTTTGAAGAGCAGAAAAATGAAGAGTGCGTTCAACACAACAGCGAAAAGCAAACAAATTTCATGAAAAAAAGAAAAATCGACTTATTTTGAAACTATACACGTTGCAGATCTACATTCACCCCGTATTTGGAAAGTTTGAAAAGACAGAATGAATTCCAACCCATAAAAAATCTTCGATTGGGTCGACCAATCTCATTATGAGCGAAATGCGAAACTAATTATAAAGTGAAAAGAGTAATTTTCATACCTATTTCAACAACTATCAATAGGAATATTTAATTTCACAATGAATTATAAGATGGATTAAACTAGAAACATGAGAGAACAAAAAATAGTTTCAGTAGGCTTTCTAGGCTTTCTTAGGATGAG